AAAAGCTTTCGTTTCACTCAGCACACAGTCAGTCCTGTCATCCAGGAGTTATGGGTAGGGTGCTGGGAATGATGACAAGTATGTGCATACAGCGACATGTGCTCATGGCCTTGTTCCAGGCTGGGTTTTCTTTTTTAGGGGGGAACTGTGCTGTCCTCTAACAATATGCCTTAAATATCTCCCAAATAATAACTGCTGACAAATGTATGCATTTATGGTTTTTCTCTTTTTCTGTCCCAGGATGAATGTCAGAGGGAAGAAGGGAAGGGTGAAGGGAGGCGGAATGGCGGGGGACACTGCAGGGGAACATGGAACAATGGGCGCCCTCTGGCATCAACCTCTGGACGGCTCAAGTCGCTCACCAAAGACACTGAACTCACCCACAATGAACTGCTGCAGTGGGAAAGCAGGCTTTAGAGAGTTCAATTTCCAACACAATTGGCTGTATTCTCATCCTTTAAATGCCAAGAAGATGGTGTGCAGCATGCGCCTTTGTGTGGAGAGCTTTGCTTACAGCGAGTGTCCTCTAGCAGGAGGGGAAAAAAGACAAGAGAAGGAGAAAGATGGCGAGACAGGCAGGAAGGGGAGACGGTGCAGCGACAGAAATAGTGCAACTGTGCAAAAGAAAAAGAAGAACGGGGAAGAGTGACTGACTTAGAGAGATAGAGAGCGGAAACAAAGGTGCCGAGGAAACGAGAAGGGTAGGGAACGTTTCCTTTGGCTGTCGTTTCGCCAGGCTCGCGAGGACCGTCTGAAGGACAATGCTGCTACTAGTGAAGTGTAACGTTTGTCCTCTATCTAATTCACCGCAGCACCAAAGAAAACACACTAATCATCAAGCACCGGTCATGCAGTTCATAAACATCCAGACCAACACAGATCTCAGTAAAAATTAAAAAATACATGATTGAGATCAACTGTGAGGTCATACTGTAGCAATCACAGCCAGAGGCCAGTTATTCTGTTCACCTTTTATTTACAAAAATAAGATTGGCAGCAAATGCGTGAGTATTTATACCTTTCCACAGCTTTTCATATTTTTTCTTACTGGAAAGCGTCTGTGGATGTCTCTACTAGTTTTACCCATTTCTAGACTGAGATTTCTGACTGTATCCTATATAAAACAGCTCAAGTTTAATTAGCAGGACATATTTTAGTTACCAAAGTCTCCCACAGATCTAAAGGATCCCCACAGCATCATGCTGCCATCACCAAATTTAATGGTGTAACCAGGGATGTTGATGCTGATGTTATGCTTTAATTATTTGTTGATATTTCTTTCTTTTTTATCTTCCTAAAGACCACCAGTTGCTTTCATTTCATTTAGAAATATAAGAATAAAGGATGATGTGACAGATTTTGAAAATATATCTTAATTTCCTCCGACACCTCTATAAGGAAATACAATCTCGATAAATAGGAAAGTTAATTCTGTGCCCTGATGTGAAAAAATGTAAGAATTGTACTCAGAACCATGAGGAGTATTTTGTCTCAGCAACAACTCTCTACCTCCTTCATCATGTTTCCTTAAGCACTGTAAGTCACGGCAGGCAAAGCAGCTTCCTGCGCAAGTTGGACGTCACTGTTATAAAGTGCAGCGTCTGAATATTATTCCAGGTGTACGGGAATGTTTTTTCTTCCCCGTTATAAATGCACTCTTCACCAAGCTGCAGGTGTCAGGCAGTGTGCTCTACCTGAACTATTATTCTTAAGAGTTTGCAATTACAGAAAAAGCAAACCCTTATCTAAGAAGGACTCTTCAGTGTAACATTTGATTTGCTGAATAAATAATATTATTTTTAGCAATTGCAGCTCTGCAGTAGAAAAAAAAATAATAAGGAATTATTTTTTCATGACTCAATCTGTAAGATAAAATGAAACAGGTGGGAAATTGATTTAGACTGCAAGCTGCCAGATGCCCATCACTGCTTCTGGATTATGTGGTAGAGTGAGCCTGTGGACCACTTTCACTCATATCATATTCAACGTTGTTTCCGCTGTGGTCACAGGGCAACTAAGCCATTAATATTACACAGTTGCACCAATGGCTCGGATGAATTATTGAGATTCTCTTATTGGGCTTTAATATTACATGTAACTCATTTGGAAGACCTGCTGTGGTTTTAAGATCAAAGCACCAAGCGTCTCTTGTTTTGCATCTCCAAGGCGGACAAACCAGAATCCGCTGGTGGAAGTGCACCTGCCTCCCAACGCCGCGTCACGCTCAATATAAGTATGTCATTAAAAAAGAAATTGCCAAGGAGGCTCTTTCTCCATCACTGTCTTCGTTTGAAGGACATTTAGCTGTCCAAAGGCAAACGCCTCACACACACACATTCTACACACACACTCTCAGATTGTGTTGCCCGGAGCCTCTCGGAGAGCGGCTGGCGGCACAGCAGACAGGAGAGCAAAAGAGTGAGAAATAAGAGAGACTGCGAGAAAAGCCTTCGTCTCACAGCAGACCTCACACTGGGTTCTGTCACTACAGATCAAAATCCCCTCAAAGCCATAGATCACTTCCACTAAAGTTCACATGTTTCACACTTAGGAAATGTTTACCAGACTCAAAGAGTTTATCTGCAAAGCACCCACTCACAGAATACACACACTTCTAATGCAGATACACCTAAAAAGAAAGACGGAAGGTTTTTCCATCTACAGTTAAGATACAGTTTAATAATTTAAAGTAAAGTAGTGGCTTTGTGCAAACAAATATTTCCACCTCTATGGCAGAGCAGTGCTCAGCCCAGTACAAAGAAATGGGGTGCTGGCAGCTCTGACTACAAGTAAGCTGACTGGTGTGACAACCAGATGAGTGTCTGCCCCTTTTTCTTGCTGAATACCTGTCAGTGGCTGTTGACTGCTCATGCACACCCACGTAAACAGCCGCTGACAGTCTGCCTCCCTAAAAAGTTACTTTAGTGCATCGGTGAGCCGCCAGGACTGAAAGAAAAGGCCCTAAATGGATCCAGGAACATCTAAACAACAGTTAATTATTTAATATTAGTCTTGGAATGGCTTGTAATAATCAGAGGGACTGGAAGAGGTTAAAATGACCTCGTCAGATGCTTTTGTTTTTGGTCATTAAACCTTTCCGTTTCTAAATATCTTTAACTTTGATCAGCCAATCGTATTCTGCTATGAAGATAGTTTTAATTGCACTTTAAGTAATCTAACTGACCAAGCAATAACAGTCATAGAAGATGGAAGCTGCGCTTGTGATAGATGCTTAGTGACCCCAAAAATACCTTAAGAAGGTTAAAAAAATCGAATGTTTTCTAATAAGGTATTAAGATCAGTCAACAATGAATTTATTCTTATTCTATTCTAAATGATGAACTTGGACAGGACCAGCATCAGTACTAGTTTTTTTGGGGGAAAAACAGACTTTGGAAGTGAAACGTTGGATGGAACTAGAAATACTAAGTAATTCTAAGGCGCTAATTTACTACAATTCAAAATAACCTGCAAAAAATTTCTTGGGAAAACAAAAAATGGGCATACCACTATTGGCGGAGCTGCAGGGGATCTATTTTGACTGCGTGCACACCTGAGAACAGGTTTAAAATGGGTAAGCGCTCTATTCCAATGTGGATCTCATCTATTTTACTGGCCTCATTGATCCATTTACACAGATTCACTAAATGGACAATGTGGATTCATCTTCAATATGGTAAATCCATCTAATGTTGAGCAGATTTAATGCGATCCTTTGACAAAGAATGTTTAATCTGTTTTGTCTACATGGATTTATGTGACTATGTACCAGATAATTTGCTGCAATGCATGAAGATGCTCTGCACCAACCTGTTATTCTTTTAGATGGAAAAACAAAAAAAATAAAGAAAAACTTCTTTACTAACAAGTTTTTTAATCACATAGAATAAATGTGAGAAAAAGGAAAAGAATGTTTGGTTGCATCCCAAACTCCAGCAGACTGGCAGCAGTCAAAAGACGAGGGAAAGCATAAAGCTGAACACTTAACTAAAGAAGATAAAAAGAGCACTAATACAGGAGACATGAGGACAGACAAGAAGGAGAAGCAAAAGTAACCCTGGCTAGTTTCTGGAGGGACGCTTTGATATGTGGACATGAAATGCAACCCTGCCTGTTTCCATCTGTGTGAAAAATACGGGTCTCCATTTGGAAAGTTTGCAGCCTTCTGTAGAGGAAGACAGCATGCAGGCCAAACCAAGACAGGAAACTCTTTTCAGTAGGGTGCAGCTCAATGTTAAAAGGGCTGGTGGTGGATAATATCATATGCATTCACCTAAATCACATAACATTGCTAATTGCGTGAGGGCTATACACTGGATGAGATATCAAGCTTAAATGTCTGTAGATTTCTACATGCTTTGTTCTGACTGGATGGCAATGATGCTGGTGGGAATGTCGTCTAAATGCATGGATGTCTGTTGCTCTACTTGATGTGCATTTGGTTTGTATGAATGCAAGGGTATTTGGATGTTCAACTAAAGTAGGCCTGATTGTTTCAAACCAGGCCTGGAGCTGCAGACTAAACCACATCCCACTGCATCTGCATAGTGGTGCAGAGAGGAAACCTGTCTTTGGAAAGTCCTCTGCATGAGAGAGAAATGTCCCCCTCATCTCAGATAAGGAGCTGATGAGATGAAGTGATAAAGTCAGTGCTTCTCCTGGGTCTTATCAGAAGCTGTTATCTGACTGCACAGCACCCACCATCTCGCCATCTTTACACCCTTTAAGCACCTCTCTGAAACACTCGCACCGCCATCAAAAAACACACGCAAACAAACACACTCATGGTTGGCGTCTAACGCTCCAACATTCTAAACACCGTACCAGCTTATTGATTACTTTGACACGCTCCCATTGTTGAACAGATGGTACACCTAATATCATGTGAAATGGAACTGTTCTGTTATCTCATGGGGAAAGGACATAAAATGACTGTTTTCTCACTTCTTGAAAAAATAAAAAACAACAACACAGCAACAGAAAAGGAGCTTTGCTCTTACCTCTATGTCTGTTAGTAGTCTTATCAAACATAAGCATGGCGTCGTCGACCTGGAAGACACAAGAGCAGTGTTGGCATTAGCTTAATCTTTGCACCGAGTACCTCACATTACCTCCAGTCTCATCTCATCTACTCGCTGTAATTACTCTTCCAATATATATTCTTGCTGCTTCACACCTATTTCTTTCTAAGCACCTCTCTCCCACGCAATCATTCGGTGATCGCAGGATTATCGTCGGGTTACTGCTTCCCTCCTCGTTTGTGCGCTGTAATTTTAGATATTACAGGAAATTATGCAATCTATGCTGTTACTCTTTGTCTGGATTAGAGTGGCGACAGGGGAGAAAATTAACAATAATGGCCAAGCGTTAAAAAAAAAATGGAAACAATGCTGACATTTAGCAGTTTTTTCCCTTTCTTTTTTTATTTTTTGGTTGACTAACGCCAACGTCCAGTCATGGAGAGAAGAGTGACAGATAGACACATTACACTAAGCGGGAGAGAGACAAATGGGACCCTTCCTCATCTCCCAGCCGCAGCAGAAGCAGCATCCTCAATAATATCATCCTTCATCATGTCCAATAAAGCCACACACAGACAGACAGCATTTCTTCTTCAGACATCCCTGACAAACTCATCTTTCTATAACTCTGATGAAAAGCTTAAAAAACAGACTGAGGCATGCTCATTTAGCCTGGAGAGGGAAAAAAAAATAGCCAAGAGCATCAGCAGATAGAAACAAAGAGGGAACGCTGTGCAATTCTCACTCCCTAGTTATGGTCTCTAGGTAAGAGTAACAGTGCACAGAGGAGGCTTAATGCTGTGCACAAGTGCGCACACATCTGTGTTTTTCATGGGAGGGCTGCAAAAGCTTTGGGAGGAGATGGAAACAGACAAGAATAGGGGTCTAGCTCAAGCCGAACTGTCTGATTGGACAAAGAGAAGTGCCTGGCAGCCAGGCAGACTAGCGCTGGCACACTGTTCATGCCACCCTCTTGCCACACATTTGGCACACAAGACGTTGGCACAGCTTGTGGGGCCTGGTTACTTGCTGCACGGCTCACAGGCCACATGCGGCTCCAAGGCACTTCATTTGCACCTCCCTAAAATATTTCCAATTTGGCGAAAAAAATAGAGGACAACGCACAGGGACCTTCAATAACCCATATACACAGTTCACCTAATTGTAAGTCGCTCATTATTCTTATGAGGAAATGGAGAATAGAAAGAGGCAATTTGCAGATTTTCTGGCCAAATCTGGTCTCCAGGTGTGCTTTCAGGTTTTTTTTTCCTTGTGTTGTTGAGTTAAATCTACAAATAATATTACTGGCTGTCAGGAACCCGAGGCAACAGAGCACAAATATGAAGATTCCCCATGATTATCCCTATATAGTCAAACAACTACCGTAAAGAAAATAAAGAAAATGGGAACGGTATTTAGTATTTCTTAACACAAAAGAAGGAAAATGGAACATGAGACTTTCTGTAAATGAGTAAAATCTATTTTTAAAAGCTTTTAAAAACTGAAATATTGACTTTATGAACTGAAGGTCTTCAAGATGCAGTTTTAGTGTCAATAATTTATTTTGTTGCATAAACAGTTTTAAGAAATGCATCCTAGCTGGGCCACATGATGTGGGCCAGCTTCTCCATCGGTTTAGCAGATATTGTATTGAACTACAAAGAGAACTCCTTCATTTTTCTTAATTTTTCTTTTGTAACAGCATTTTGATGTCATCCAAAAACTTTACAATTAAATCACTGTCGTTCAAATGGGCTGATAGATCCGTAATGATAACATTGTGTGACTGGAACCAAGATACCGCTTGCTAAGTGGTGTGTTTGCAGTTATTATTAATATAATTACGCACTTTTCAAGAGAATATCCTCTTCAGGGCAAGACAATATTGCCTCTTCAGTTATTAATATTCAAACAGATCCATATTCCATGGAAACTAGAAAAAAAGCCCACAAAATACCATTCTATATAGGGACTATTTAACAAACTTTGTAAGGACAGGGGGACATTTTTCAAATAGTTAAAGTATGCACAGGTAATTCATTTGAATATTTGTGATGAATGAAACAGCAGGCCAAAACAGTTTTCTATTACTCTACTATGGCTACTAAGGTTATTTTACTTGTAGATAAACAATTTAAACTAAATATTGACATTGTTCTGGTGATTCTAGACAGCTTTCATTCTGGACAAAATGGTGCACATTTCAGGTTTAAAACCCTTTAGTATAAACTTAAAAAAATGACAGGATTAACTTTTGCAAAAGTCAAACTTCTACTATATAAATCAGAAACCTTACACTTCATATGTGCATTAAAGATTTTAAAGTGCAGGGCTATTCCCTGGTTCCTGTAATCAGCCCATAAATAATTCCCCGAAGATTGAAAAAAATAAATAAAAATTAGCAGCTTGTGTCCATGGATGGAGGATATCCCTTGGTTCAAGCCCCGGCTCTTGGATCATTACTCCATTTCTTTCCCTTTTCTCCTCACAACTTTTCCTGTCAAACCATTTTCAAATTAAAAGGCCACTAGAGCCAAAAAGATATAAAACAAGTAAAGATGGAGGTTAGAGTTTTGTGGCAGAGTAGCCTAAAACAAAAAGAGCACAGTAAATGTAGGAAATCATTCATTTCCGGACTAAAACACTAAAGAGACAAATTTGTACATTTTTACTGAAACATATCCTTACAATATTGTTTTTACTTGACCCTAAAACAGTTATAATAGCAGACTGATGCCTTAGAAACTCATGGCTGAAGCATCTATAAGCCTGTAAACTATCCCTGAATGTACTGCAGGTTGGAAATTCCCACGCTGTTTCTGCAGATGTAAGGTCAAGGCAGTTCATGGTAAATGGGTCCAAACTAGCAAAGGATTGAAGCAATATAAGATGGATTTTTTTAAGAGACCGGCATCCATGTGTGGGTTCTCTCTGGGTATTCCGGGTCCCTTACACAAACCAAAAACATGACTACTAGGTTAATTGCTGTCTCTGAATTGTCCCTGAGTGAGAGACTGTGTATGCATAATTGTATGTGATGCCCTGCAATTGACAAATAGGCATAGGGCACCAGACCCACCGTGACCCTGATGGAGGAAGCGGGATGGATGGATGTATTCATTTATTTATCATACCCTTGTGCCTTTTTTAGGGTTGAACGATTTTGTCCAAAATTAAAAACTAAAACTACAATTGTGATTTTATTTCGACATTTCTTTGCGCTAACCACAAGCATGTAAATGTTTCAATTCAGGATTTAAATTTTTGCAGGACCCTGATAGCTTGCTTTCCCAGAGTCCGTTGTTGCAGGACTTAATTGTAACTCCATGTGAAAAAAAATCACTCTTTTCTATTTATATTCCTAGATTTGCGTACTTGCTTTAACTCTATTTTACCCTCTGTGTAGCAGCAAACCCACCTTAAGAATATTGCTGCCACCTAAAGGGCTGGAATTAGAAATTCAATGTATTACTTTATCTAATTGTATTGTTAGAAAAAGTAAGTGCTTCTGCAATTTGAAATTATAATTTTGTTAAATGTTACATTGCAAATGCAATGAATTGCATAGACGAAGCCTCGTTTTTTGAAATTGTATTTAAGCTCATAAAGCAGAATCAAACGCTTGGTGTATATAACCTTCTTTTGTCATTATCAAATGGTTTTTGTGGTTTTTGTATAGGCATAGAACGTGACTGTGCACCTTAAGCATGCATTAGTAGAGTGAAAATTAAAGACAAGCAGAGCATATGAGGGTTTAACATTGAAGATCAGGAGGGTTATATATTCAGCTGAGCTGCAGCAGAATCCTCTACAATCACTAACAAAGTTATTGTTTTCCCTGAAATTTTTCCTTTGCTGGAAAAACAACAATAGAACAAAACAATGTGGTGAAAACAATAAAGTTTCAGTGTGTGAAAAATGTGCTTTAAGATGACTGCGTGGTTAGAAATCATTACAGTGGTGTACAAACTGCCAAAGCAATATCGCCCACAGTAACAGTTTTATAAACAAGCATTTATATTGTCACACGCTGTAACCTCTGTCTAATACCAGGCAATCAAATGGAAATCACATTAAAGGGAGGGGGGAGTGGGATAAGTGAAATTTGTCGTACTAAGGGTTATGATTTTATTGACAAGAGTCTGAAGAACACAGAGAACCCTTGTGCTTGTTTATCTTCTGTACAATAACTCCATTGTTACGTTCAGTACCACTTTATCACACACTATTGTGCAATTAAAGGTGAGAGAAGTTTTCTTCAATCCAGTTTTTTTTTTTTTTTTTCAACCCTTGGTGGATTTCTGCTCTAAAAAGAAAACAGAAACGGTTTCTTATGTGTCTTCCATTTGACAGCGTGAAAGCTGCACTGCAGAACTAAGACGGAATGACATGTTTACCAACTATGGTAAACGTTTCATTTGACAAGCGTGGCCGACGGTTTGTGATCACTTACATGGGAGACAGAAACTCCTAGCATTTGACTTCTGTCACCTAATGCCAGTAATGCTGGAAGAGCCAAACGGAGATAATGCTTTATGCATCAATAAGCATGCAGACAAAAATGCCGGGAAAGCATCTCAGTTTTCTTTTAGACATGAACAAATGAAAGGCTCCATATAAAACACTACTCTTGTCAATTAAAATAAAAAAAAGATCAGATTTTTACATTTCCCTATTATCCAGTTTGAGCTTGCAGTGTAACTTTTTTTTTACGATTGAAAAGCTAAATATGCTAAATAAAGATTTTAAATTTAAAACTGTGACGTCAACACAGAGGACACGGAGCGAAACACAACTTCTGCACTCATATAGGATATGTTCATGCTCTGAATGCAGTCTAAACTCTTCTGGAAGCTTCCAGAATCCAGCCAAGCATAGCTTTATCATTTTGACATAGCTATCTATAAATCATTCTTGATGTACAGAAGCTTAAAAATAACTTGCAAGCATCAATTAATCATGACTTTCTTATATTAAATAACGTCTTTCTCCACATATACCAATATATACATAAGATAATGTTTTTAC